ATCTCACAAATACATGAACAGATCTTGGACGAATCACCAAGAAACTCCTTAGTACCTCCTCTAATATACAACTTGAAGTAGAACTTTAGTTCTCACAGATATTTACACAGAATATCACAATCAGATATTTAAACTCTCACAATTACAGGTTCAAAATCAAAGATTTGAACGGAGAAGAAAACCAGACGAAGAAACCCTAAGTTTTTCACTCAAAAGGTCAGAGGCATGAGAGTATCTCGAAATAATCCAAAAGACGGTAAGGGTAAGTTCAAGAGACATCCAGAAGGATCAGCCAACTGCCCAGATCTGTCCACGTGTCACCATCTCAGCAATTGAATGTGATAAAACGTTATAACAGAAAAACACGCCTTTAATAATTCTTCAGCAGCACACCATTATACCAGGGTTCGAATCCTACACCAACACTTGGCAGTTGGCATCGTGATGACAGAGGTACAGAGGGCAGAATCAGAATGATTAAAGTTGAATAATCTGAAAGCAAAGAACTACCTCTTCCAAGCATTTGATCGTTCTATCTTGGAAACTATTTTCAGCAAAGAAACTTCCAAGTAGTTTTGGGATTCTGTGAAGAAGAAATTTCAGGGGTCAGCAAAGGCAAGAAGGCAGTAGCTTCAACAACTTCGTTCTTTAAAGTCCCCAGTCGTTTCCGAAGAAGGCAGTAGCTTCAACAACTTCGTAAGAGTTTAAAATACTCCGTATGAAGTCTGGTGAAACAATATCTGATTTTTCTTCCAGTAGGGAGAAGATAGAAGATGTGACTGTGGTTGAGAAAATTCTTCGATCGTTGACACCGAAATTCAATTGCATGGTTTGTTCAATTGAAGAATCTAAAGATCTTGATATTCTTTCAATTGATGAACTACAAGGTTCATTAGTGGTCCATGAATGTAAAATGATTCGGCAAGATAAAGAAGAGCAAGAATTGCAAGTCTCCACCAACAATTCTTTTTTGACAACATCTAGAGCCGATAGAGGAAGAGGCAGATATAGAGGTAAAGGTAGAGGATACAATTATCGTAGGCAAAAAATTGAAGATAACCAGGTTCATGATTCTCATGGGAGAGGTCAAGGCAGTCACCATTCCACTACTTACAGATAGAAGTTAGAAGACAAGTCCAATATTGAGTGCTTTAGATGTCACGGGTATGGCCATTATCGATCTGAATGTTGCACTAATTTGAATAAAGAACGTGGTGAAAAACTAACTTTGCAGAGAAGCAAGAAGAAGTTGTTTCAATGTTAATGGCATGCCATGTTAAAGAGGAAACTCACCAAAGTATGTGATATTTGGACATAGGTTGTAGCAATCATACGAATGGAGACAAGTCTGCTGCTAGACGAATCCATTCGAAATACTGTAAAGTTTGGAGATAACTCCACAGTTTCCGTTATGTGTAGTATTGTCTTTTAGTTAAAAATGATTTTTTATAATTATATTGTTATTTAAGGGCATTTTTGTCTTTTATAATTCAAAATATCATTGTGAAAATATTTGAAAAATATTGAGGTTTGACCATGCCATTTTTAAAAACACCCCACTTTAACTTACCTCCAAAATAAGTGATTATGACCCATAATAAATTATTATTTTAAAATTACTTATTTGCTTATAAGTTAACCTCCAACCAACCTGCTCTGTTTATTTTGGGGACCATGCTCTGTTAGTTGGAAGATAACGAAGCAGAAGGCAGAAATGGAAGAAAAGCTATCGTCGGTGGCGAAAACTCTAACACCATCTCCAATACAGCAACTATCTTTTCTTGCTCAAAGATGTGACGCCATTAACCTCGCCGAAGGGTTTCCAGATTTTCCTGCGCCTCTGCATATCAAAAACGCTGCCGTTTCGGCCATCAATTCCGATTTCAATCAGTACAGGTCTTCCATTTTCATCTTCAATTTTTCATTTCTTCATTGAATTTTGCATTAGAAGTAGAAAAGAGTTAAGTTTAGCAAAAATTTTGAATGAGTTGTGAAAAAATGACATTTTGGATTACGTTTTAAGTTCCAACTTTCCCCACGGAAAAGTTACTTATATACTTTATAAGTAAATTGGATAGCTTCTAAAGCAGTGATATTTTGGATTACTTTTTAAGCGCCCGTTTGGCCCCATTATTCCATGTTATAACGAGAGTAATAGTATTTTTTTGGAAAATATGTGGTTAAAGTATAAGGAAAAGTTTTTAGGTTTATGTGTAATATTATTTTATGAGAGAATGTGTGGTTGATATGGAGGAAGAGAAAAATGAATTATAATTTAATGGGAAATAATGAGAGGCTAAGTTTTATAAGTAAATTTGCTTCTTTTTAAGCATAGCCAATATGCTAATCAGGGCGGAAAAACATGGTGGGATGGGCTGAAAGCCTGAAACTTAAAAAAATTGCCAATAAAGTCATGCCATAAGAGATACTCTATTCCACACGAGATTAGTTTAAAAGATTAAATTCATGATACTCGTCGTAAAGTCTATCACATACTCAAGCAAGTACATATGTCAACCCAAAGATGTCTTATTACATCTTCATAACTTTTCTTGCCAAATATGAAATCAATCCCCTCCCTATGAAATATAAAGCGACTGAAGCATTATAAGTATGAGCAAAGGATATATACACACCAATAAAAAATTAAGAAAATACCTCATGAGTACTCTTTTGGGACACAAGTCTCAAAGAACTTTGATAATCAATCATTCCAAATAATTGAAAATTTTGGTCAAATATACAATAAAAAAGTACATGATTGTACATCAGCAATCTCAAAATACTATTCGAAGTGAACATCAGCCTTCTATACCAAGGCATTTTAATCTTGAAGTGGAAAAAATTGACAGGAATATTGAGGGTACGAGGAAAATGGATTTATTTCATGTCCATGTTTGATATTTTGGTTGCAGATTCGAGTTTGGGTAAGGGGGGTGGCCTTAGTGTAGTATACATTCTTCTTAAGTTCCTACAGGCTGTAACTGGCAGTGATTATGAGGGACCTTATAAGTAATCAATGTCTCTTTATTGATGCCACAGGCATGTGGAAGGGATATGTGATCACGTAGCCCGTAAAATGAAGGAAATGCAAAAATTGGATGTTGACCCCCTCACAGATATAGTTATTTGCTGTGGGCAGTCCGAGGCATTCGCGGCTACCATCTTTGCAAGTATAATGTCTCGGGTCGCACATTCTCGTAGTTAATCAATTTAAAGATTTCTTTACTTTAAAGGTGTGTTTATAATGCATGCTTGTCTTTGTTTCATTTCCTCAGTAGTTGAGCAGGGGGATGAGGTGATACTATTTGATCCTTCATATGAAACATATGAAACGTGTATTAGGCTGGCTGGAGGAGTCCCGGTAAGCCGATCTAATTAGTACCTTGTTTTTGGAGCAACGTGAAATTTATAATTGTATACTAATTAAGCTAGTCAAAATTTACAAATACATTGGAGTTATAATTTCACTTATCTCTTATGGAAAATGACAGGTATATGTAGATCTGGATCCGCCTAATTGGACGTTGAATCTTGATAAACTAAAGAAGTCTTTTACTACAAAGACAAAAGCTGTAGTTTTGAATAGGTATACTTCTTTCATTTCTGTACGTTTTATGGCAACTAATATACTTCTTTGATTTCTGAGGCCTCTACTTATATCGAAGTCATTATCTTGTTATAATAATCTTTTAACCATACGTTCTCCAAAAAATCACTATTACAAAACCTATTCTACATAAAAATGGGGCTTGAACACACCCTAAGAAATTTTGGTCTTTTAAATGATGAATCATAGATGATATACATTTTTTATTTTTACAAGTTCTCGTTGTCCGGCTGGAATAAGCTTGATATTAATGCTAGAGCTTCACATTTCTATTATTTTTGTTGTAACTGTAAAAATAGATAACCTTTTGTTAGTTCTCTTTCACTATGAACTGGACATGCGTCATATTTAAGGTATCTTTACTACGTTCTTACTCCCATGGCTTCTGTATTAGCAGATGAACAAAATTTATAGAGTTTTTGGCAGTGGAAAATTAAGGTATACGGGTAACTTAAAATTGCAAAGTTCGTAACAAGACAGTTAATTGATTTCGGACAATATTCATACAAGTTTTTTCTTTTAAAGTCAAACTCATTGCCGAAGTTCTGTTGTGCATAAAACTCGTGAAGAGAAACCTGTTGAATCATCACGAGTTATAGTTCTATGGTAATGACATTGACTTTTACAAGTATACTAATACTAGTAACACAGTCCTCACAACCCAACTGGAAAAGTTTTCTCCAAGGATGAGCTAGAGATCATTGCTGGAGCTTGCCAGACCTGGAATATCCTAGCTGTAACAGATGAAGTACGAAAAACATTTGCAACTGCTTATTGTACATGAGCTAGGTGCACAACTTTCTTTGGTTATCTACTACTTATGTGCTTTTCATATTGATCATCTTCTGAGATAATGGCTTCTTTTATGAACAACTAAACACATCTTTATAGACGTTTATTAGTCGAATAAATTTGTTGTTCAACTGAGTGTTATTAAGAGGATAATGGAGGATTTAGTCTCATTGCAGTAAGGAATTATAAGAATAAGTAAGCTATTGGTTATGCTTATTAATCGTGAAACATACCTTAAATAGTGTTTTTTAGTATGCAGTTGTTTGTTGTTTTCAAGTCTTTCAAATATATTAGGGAGATGGCAGAGGAGAAACACGAGCTATCTAATGTACAATGAAGAAATGACTGAAATATAAAGAAAATAATCATGAAGAATCAGCTTTATGCGTTTGTTTGGCTAAGCTTAAAATCGGAAATAGGTTATTTGTTTTGACAATAAGTCAAGATTTATTTCCATAATAAGTAACTATTTTTGCTTAAAAATAATATAAAAAATTAACTTGTTTGGATACAAAAAGTTACTTAAAAGTAACCTCTCCTTCCTTTTAAGATAAGCCAACTATTCTCAATGTCTAATCTCACACAATATTGTTTGGATACTTGGTTCTAGTTTGAAAATTAAAATTTATACCAGATTTTACTGGAATGGAGTTTATTTATTGGTAGAGAAATCTGTCATCTCCCTATGCAAATTTTAGTATGCTTCTTCCTTCTGATGTAATATATGTCAAGCAACCAAATGTCGTGGATTTGGGAAGTCATATATGTCCATGTTGCTTTCTCTTCGTCACCTCTTCTTCTTCTTCTTTTTTTTTCCTACCTGCAACATTAATTATTTATCTGTTTGGTCCCACAGGTGTATGAGCATATAACTTTTGACAAGGAAAGTCACATATCACTCGCCTCACTACCGGAAATGCAGAAGAGGACCATTGTGACATCTTCCTTGTCAAAAACTTTTAGTGTAACCGGTACAAATCTGTAAACTATCTAAAGTTCACTTATACTGCCTTTGATGTTTTATTTCTGTTTTGCAAACCAGATGCCTTTTATTATGTTTGCCAAAAAAGAGTTTATGTTAATTGTATTACATTGTTAGGATGGAGAATTGGATGGGCAATTGCCCCAGCTTGGATTGCTTCTGCTATTAGAAACATTCATATTAAAATTACAGATTCTGCTCCTGCACCTTTCCAGGAAGCTGCTTTGACTGCTTTGAGGAGTCCACATGCATACTTTGATTCATTGAGAAGAGTAAGATTCTGAAGCATTAAGAATTCATCCGAATCGAAGGATTGGGAACAATGAACTATGAATTTCACATCTTAGTCAACTCATATGTAGCATGATAGGTTGTTGATGATGGATTTAAAATCGACCAAAAATTGGAGTTAATTTGAAATTATCTTCATCTATAGATAATTTTTTATTTAATACTCTAGATTTTAAATGTTTAGCGAAATCCTTATATTATTCAAATGAATTTGTGAATCTGTCCCAATTTATATTCATCATGCAATCCGAATCCATATACTCCAAATGCAATCTATATAGCCTGCTCTATGATAGTTCATTGTATTTGCTATAGATGGAAGTTGTCAATGACCATTTATGCTTTGTGCTTAGGATTATGAATTGAAAAGAGATTTCGTTGTTGACATGCTTGAAAAGGTTGGCTTCAAGATGCAATTTAAGCCCAAGGGTTCCTTTTTTGTATTTGCACCTCTTCCAGGGAGCTGCACTCTTTCTGATGTAAGTACGTACTTTTCTGCACATACATGCTTGGCTAAGCTTGAAAGTTGCTTTTTAGTAATTTTTTGCCAAACACGTTTGAGATTTTTTAGAAGTTACTTTTTTGTTTGGATTTTCAGTAGAAAATCTTACCTTTTTGACAGTAAAGTCTTTACTTTTAAACTTAGCCAAACATGCTGATGATAATTGCTGCAAATAGCTGGAAAGTCTTCGATGACATTAATTTTCTCCTTTTTTTTCCTACTGAAGTCATATAAGCAAGCAGAACTATACGGTTATTGGTCATATCCATTGCTCAGGAATTCGTAAAATCCTGGTTTAATGCTAATGTTTTCATCTTATATCACATGCTTCCATGAAAATGTAGCCAGTCGGTCCAAAGTCTTGATAATAGTTACATTATTCCATCCCTGAATTCTATGTTGGCTAATGCATAGTAGTTAATTGGTTGTGCGTTTTTAAAATGTAACTACTCTTTCTTTTTTGTTTCTTTTCAAGTCGTGTTCTACGATTTGAGTGTTCTCAAACTAGCATACTTTTTGCTGTAAGTGCTATTTTTGACAGATCTATTCAAATATTCCTGAATGCATCGTGTATTGTATTGGGCTTCCAAAACTTTTTGGATTACCAAAAATGAAAGTCAACAATTTCCAATCATTGGTTATTTTATCTTCCACCCAAAAATTTGGCCAGCAAGTACTGTTTCAATCAGAGTAAATTATTTTCTTTCTTCCTTCTTTCCCTTTTTCATTCTTGGCCAGATTGCCTTGGTTATTTACTATGTCTTGTGGGTCAAGAATCAAATCAGGGTTGTCCTTGCATATTTTGTTCTTCCGACCAGCCAAAAAGAATAGAACAACAAAGAAAAAATTGAGTTTGCAAATTTTCGTGTGTTTATCATGGTTGGATGAAATTTTGAAATGAGGATAGTGATAAAAAGCTCCAGTGGCACTGGCATTGCAGGTTGAATTCGTCGAGGAATTAATTAAACAAGCAGGGGTGGTTGCAGTAGCAGGGTGCGGTTTTTTCCATACAAGTTTATCTGCAGAGGATTCTTCCCAGGCTGCACTTGGCTACCAGAGAAAATATATCAGATTTGCGTTTTGCAAAAGCGAAGATACATTGGCTGCTGCTTCAAAGAAGATTAGTGGGCTTGTCGATGGTAAGGAAACTTTCAAGCTACTTTAAGTTGTTTAGTTTTATATGATGGAGATACTACAAGGATCTTAGAACTTGAAAACATAATCAAGTTACATTTTAGTTGACTTCATATAGATGGCAGAGGTATGAAATAGTTTGTAAGAGACTGGAGGAAAGAAAAATGTGTGTAATATTGGGATCATCTGAGCATGGACCTTTGAATTTCTGATGACTGAATCCTATGTTTTGAGAACCTTGATTATCATGGGAAATCTGAGAGTTTTTAACATGACTTTTCTCATGTCAATATGGATGAAAGATTGCTGAAATTTTCTTGCGATTCAGCCAGCCAGCAATTTCTTGTTTACTTGAATCATTCTTGTCATAGAGAACATTCAATAAAAAAAACATTGGAAATCTGCACTATAATTGATAAATTTTACCAGAAGTCTCTCTCATTTAGTTCGTCTAGTAAAGCTTACAAATGTGATCAAAAAGAGTTGATTAAATTAAAATTTAAGTTGCGTATCTCACAAAATGTGTAAATAATGAGTTGTGAATTCACGCGTCATGCGTCCCTACTTTTCTTAGTCTCTGTTTAGTGGAGATTAAAATTAGATTTTTAATAGATTTTTATGTAAGATGATGAAATGATTGAAAAGTTGTTTGATCCATGAAATATGTTAATTGTTGATTTTGATTTAAATTAAAATCTAAACTTTAATTCCTACCTGCGTTAATATCATTAGAGTACACGTATTAAATTAGTCTGTATGCTTCTACGAATAAAAAGATAAATATTAATAGTTTTTAACTTTTTATACGTCCAACACGAGCTTGGAGGAAACCAAATATACGTACTTTAATCTCAGAACAATCTTGCACACCTTCCGATCTTGCTTCTTATACAGATGTCAGAACAATCCCAATTTTGCACCCAACGATGCTAGATGTGCATTCATTTCCTTGCGCACTTTTTTTTTTTTTTTACGTCCTCTTTATTTTCAAAAAATTATGGATGAAAAAGTTTTTTTTTATATATAAAAAAGCTGTCCGATGATGTATTGCCACATGACACAAATATAAACAACTATATAAAAAATGATATACATGTAACATGATTGTTTTGCACTGAATTTACAAAGCACAAGTCCCACGTCGTGAAAGACTTGCCAAATGGGATTCCAATAGGTGTTAAATAGGGGGCCCTTTTCATGCATATCCTCCTACCTCTTTCTATATAATTAAAATCAAATTTTGGTGAAAAATATATCTTCAAATAGTGATTTTTTTAAGAATGTGTGATTAAAAAAGAATAAAAAATTTAGATTTATGTATAATATTATTTTATTGAAGAATGTGATTGAAAAAAATAGTGAGAATGCATTTTTGAATAAAATGAAGCCTAAACAAGGGTTAAATTATACGGGAAAAAACACTTCAAATTCTTTATTAAACACCATAGAATCGATGGCTTAGAAGGGTCAGAAACTATGATGTGATGTCAAGACATCATCACTAAGTTGGCCAAGTAGGACAAGCCCCAATAGTGGTACCAAACTTGCTAAGATAATTTACAATATTTAAAACATGTCTTCGTTTGTTTTGTATACATACCCGACGTAATGCTTGTCATAGACAAGCTCTCTCTGCCTCTAAAGGTCGAGTTTGAATGGAATCATCTGTCGTAACCTTGCTCCGTAGACATTGGTAAAAACTCTATGACATGTTTAATGTTAGAATAAGAAATAGAAGAGACTCAACAAACCACTGTTCTACTAGACATCGCCTAGACACGAAGCAAGCACAAAACGCTCAGCCTCATGCTTTTTCGCACTTCTTTTTTTCACGTCTAGGCGAGCTTTTTTCAATATAGTATTTTATAATTTTATACGGTAGATATTATTAAAATTTTAAAATAATATTAAAATAAGAAAATGACTTTTTACCCTTAGGCTTCGACTAGACTAAGGCTTGACCTCTATATCTTGTTACGCTCTATGCTTTTTAGAATACTGGGAGGAACAAGCAAACGAATGTGTCACATGCCCATATTCTAAAATCATGCAGGTTCCGTGCATCAAACGTTACACTGGCGTATTGGCAAGCTTGCCATTTACAAGAGGCCAATAAATTTTTGTGCCCAAATATTTTACACTGGCCTCCAGATCTGGGGAAAGATTATCTTTGAATAAGACACCTATAAAAATATTAAGATTTATATTCTTAACGTGGATCTTAAGCATGGAATTTTAAATTCTGCACTGGTGAACAGGCGATTGCGAATATTGCTCTACGGACATTGGAGGACTTCTACTATACGAAAACTACGTAAATCTAGTCATTTTCACAAGAGCATATTGTACTGCCTAAAATTTTAACTTCTTTCTTCATCCCGTCTGGCGGTGTCAATCCAGCATATAAAACATATAATCAAACCTATAAAAACCCCGATCCATCTCCATTGAAATCATCACCTCCCAGTACTGGGCAGTCACTAGCATCATGTCCATATTGACCACGACAGGGAACTGAAAAACGCCTTCTCTTCCTGTATATATCCCCCAGTCCATCTCTCCATGTTCTCTCTTTCAACTTTGCAACAACTAAAGATTCATGAGGATTTCCACTGAAACTTTGAGCAATACCATCAGAATCTTCAACTTCTGGAAGCAAAAGGGAATTGGATGGGCTGTTATAAGCAATATCATTAACACCGTCTGATGAAATGGGAAATTCTTTGATTCGGGACAAAACCAAAGCGACCTGATCACAAGCAACATCAAGGCGATCTTCTGTCTCAGTTGATTCTGTAAGTAGTGTTGAAATTATTGATTGCAACAACTGTATCTTTCCAGAAGTAGCATGCACAGGTTTCGTCAATGATGAGGGGGCATCACGCCAGCGCATGGGCAGATATTGGTCGGGAATCTGAAAACAATTGTTGCTTGAGAGAACACGAAGAACGTGTCTGCAGAGGATGCCTGAAAACTCAAAGTGATTACAGTTACAGCTGATCAAGTCATCATTCGGAATCCATAATACTTTACACCCTCCATCCCTTTCCGTATGGTGTCTCACAATAAAGTAATTTTCATCTACCATTAATGATGCGTATTGGGGTGCCAATAAGAGTTCCTCCTGTAGTTTGCAGAAGGCATAAGGTGTAAGAACAGCTGCAGCATTCGACTCAATTGGGGACCCTGTTTTGAGGGATACTTCAGGGATCTTCCGTTGCATCTTTGGTTTTGTTCCTGCTTGATCTTTAGCATATAAAACTGTAGCCACCTGCAAAAGAGGAGTATAAACAAGAAAAGATTGCAGCATTGGTCATCCTTCAATTAAAATCGCATAACTATTCCCAACAAAGACATCCAAATCTTTTAAATAGTCACGTGGCCTTCAAGGGCACATGCCTCAGTTCAAATTTCCAAATACTCTAGTTAATAAAGTTGAAAAATGTGAGGATCTCAGCACAATTTAACGGAGATTCTAATGGTTTTAGTCATTGAAGAGAGATAATGGAAGATTGAGGGCCAACTATCTCTTTCTTTAAGACCAAGACCAACCTAGATACTCGGATAATAGGTAGAGACCAACAACACAATTTTCCTATATAATTTTGACAACAGTAACAGCACGTCAAGAAACAAATAGAAAGAAAGAGGTCGGTACCTGCTCGACAAAATTCTCAAGTACAGATTGTGCACTCAAAAATCGTTGGATACATGAGTTTATCGATTCTGACTGGAATGTACTGATAATTCCTGCAAAGAAATAACATCTCAGAAAAGGTAGTGCCCAATATGTGCGCAACGCATACAGGCTGACCACATGGTTATTTCCATGCAGTCCATATGAATCAACCATATCCCTCCATCCCACTTCAAATTCCTCGATTGAGTGCAAATTATAAAGCCGATGGAACTCAGATTTCCAGTTATCATATTGCGAGCCAAGAACTACAGAAAACCAATCGGGAAACTTTGAAATGACATGGCAAAAGGCAAAGGCATGTTTGGTCCTTGGCATTTCAGTAGCAAGTGCTTCTTTAAGCCACATGTTTTGATCAGTTAAAATTGTTCCCGGAGCTTTTCCATTCATGAATTCCAAGAATGTCTGTCAAATACAACAAAAAATATGAAAAAAAGGACATCCTCTGGAAATTTCAAAACTACTCTATACAGATATGATAAAAATACTATGATCCCATTATACTGGAAGATAACACACTGTAAATGGTTGAACAATTAAATATAGCCCTCGTCGTCCCTAGTTTTGTTTCTACCTTCAACATATCGTTGGAATTTATGAATTCAAGTTTTTTTTCTTTCTGGAAATAAACAAAAAATTCAACCAAGTACACACACACACACAGAGCAATATTCCTTTGAACACTTGTCGTCATGCAACCACAATTCCAGCATTCAGTTCCCGACAATGAATGTATAAGGGATTGAACATTTTTCAACGACTAATATTATCTCTAGCACCACTAGTGCTAAAATACAAGTCTAGATGCCATTATGTTATAAGCCGAATGAAATGTATAATATTACCTCTCATTTAGTGCCACCTATATTGGTGTTTTAACATCAGTGATGCTAAATAGTATTACTTTTTTTTCAGCAGATGCCAGATGATATCACAGGCTCAAATGAAGTTCCTATTTTACTAAAATCAATTTAAATTTTATTTACTTGTACACAAATATACTATATTAGATGTTAAAAAATGAACTCGTAGTTTAGTTTGTTTATCAACTCTTTCGATGAAATCAATTTAAACAATTGGATTATAATTTGAAATTAATTTAAATTTAAAGCCAAAATAAATTCTTTTCAAAAAAATTAAAGGAAAAAAATCAATTTCAATATCTTATATATTATTTAAAAACAATTACAGAAATAAATTTAAATTTCTTAGAAAAAAAAATGTAGTACTAAATCATTTAATTATAAAATAAAAAGTTCACAAAGATAAAATATAAGAAATAAAAAATTTAATACAAAAATAAACTCAAATTAAATAGATTTGATCATACAACTTATCCAAATAAAAGAATTATAATTTTATTAACTTTGAATTTTACAATGCCCATATGACACATTAAAAAATCGGGTCCACGGTCCACATTGAATTAGGGCGGAGATCA